CACTCGTTTTAGTGAGGTTTCAAAAAAACTAACCTGCCTTTGTATATAATTGAAAAAAAAGTATTTCTAAGAATGTTTGCAAAGATTACAATTGTTAATAAACTTTTACAAGTGAAAACCCATTTTCAGGATACAGTAAGAGAGATCAGAAAGTTTGCAATTGCTCGCATACTAATACTAATGAGAACACATTACAGGGAGACACCAAAAATAGTGATGAGTCCAATAAGAGCTCTCCATTGCCTGCAGCTCTCTGAAATAAGCAAGTTTTAATGTTCAAGAGTAATGCTTAATTATCCATACATGGCCATTTACAAGCATATTGCCACAGGGCTCCGGTTTCACAACATTCCCCAATCTAATAGAAGATAGCATTATTGCGTGCAGTCAGAATTATTCACTGCATTACCCACGATTCATAGCATGTATTAACGCAAGCAATTTCATGCATATGGATACAGTGGGGCTTAGCAGGGGAGCTCCTGATTGCTCTGAAACTAATTTCACAATCATTAGTTTTGGTGGTGGTGTGAGTGACAGAGTGTATTTAGATCTCAGAGAATGACAAGTTCCACAAGCTTAGGTGACGAAGTTGTAAAAATGAAAGTCTGATCATTGTGAAATTCTGTGTTTAAACTGCGCAGTGACTGCACTGTCGTCAGCTAAAAGGAATCTGCTTTGATTTCCAAAACTTTCTTTTCCAAATACAAAAAAAAGTACAAACAAATGATAAATAGTTATCTAGTGTTTATCACTTATGATATCAATGTCCACCCATAAAATAGTCACAGAAGGGGAGATCCTTTGTAAATTAAGGGCCAAGTGCTTGAGGTTCAGGCCAAAACAGAAAGCTATTTTAGCCTGGAGGTGAAGTTAATGAATCATGGCTAAGTGCTGCATTCCATCCATATGTAAGATGAGGAGATATATTTGCAAAGCCTCTGAATCAACTTAATGCTGTTATGGGCCATTGTTCACAATAAACTTGTAAATTGTGTTTATGCAATAGCATATAAATCAATGGCGCTGATTCACAAATAAATTATAATCACAGTGAGTCCTAAAAAGTGCAACACACACACACACACACACACACACACACACACACACATACACAGGGAATGTCATTTTGCACATAATCCAATCCAAGAAAATATATATTAATTTTATAATAAGTCTTTTTCACATTTTGACTTGTCGTGGTGATGAAAGCAGAGGTGTTACTGATACCGTTATCGATTACTCTGTTCTATTCAAGTGTCCCAATAAACCAGTAGTTGAAAGTAACTGCATACATCTGCTCAAGCACTTTATTTACTGTAAGTACAATTTTGAGGTACTTATACTTGTACTGAGTATTTATATTTTCTGCTGTTTTTTCCCTCTACTTCACCACATTTCAGAAAGAAATATTGTAGTTTTTTTACTCTATTACGTTACTGGTTTCTTTGCAGATTCATATAATAAATATGATATGTTATTATAGATTGGGAGTAGAAATGATCTCCCCAAGCTGCAACAGTAAAGTGATGCATCAATAACTATACCTGTAATATAATATACATTATTCTGAAATGATCTATTCTGTTTAGTTCTGTTACTTTCAGTATATTTTTATGCTTTAGCACTTTCACTACACTGTGGCATTGCTACTTTTACTTAAGCAAAAGATCTGACTACTTCTTCCACCACTGCAGGATGGATGGATGAATGGATAGATAGGTAGGTAGGTAGGTAGGTAGGTAGGTAGGTAGGTAGGTAGGTAGGAAGGAAAGAAGGAAGGAAGGAAGGATATGCCATAAAGACTATTTGCCACAAAAAGTCCTTAAGACCCAGTCTGGTGTCTTGGTGTACGACTGTTAAATGATGTAGTAATAGCTTTTAGCCACTAGGTGGGGATATGTTATCTATCTTGCTGATACTTGTATTTCAGCCAGTGAAACATCTTGTAAATGTTATGGATTGATGTGATAAATCAAACCTATATGCTACAAATGTACTTGCAACTTTGCAAAATATATCAGGAATATTCTAAAGAATAATTGAGAACAACACTGCATCCTCACAGGATCTAAATGTTAATGGTAAGGCTCTGTTCCACTTTCTAATAAGGCATAAGGCAATAACAATAAGGCATGTTATTGGTTAATAAATAATTAACTAATGCTTTATAGATCCTTTAGAAGCCAATAATAAGGAAAACTTTTGGGATGCCAGGTTGTGAAAAATCCATTTGGTTAGTGATGACCATTATCTTGAAATAATACATTTGGAAATGTTGGTAATCTAACAATAAAATGTAATAATACATTGGTTCTCACCCTTTAAAAAGCTGCCATGTCGGCATGTGTAAATGTTACTGTTATGTTGTCAATAAATGGCCTTTATTCCAGATGCTCTGGCAATATTTCCCAGACATTACGTGGTCTTGTGGTTCACTGGAGGGATTCTCCTGATAGAGCCATCAGCCACAACCAATATCTGCAGGTGAGAAGAGTAAGGGATCACACATGCAGGCACCTTTGAGACAAACGCAAGAGAAAAAGACAGGAGAACGTGAAAGTGTATCGCCTCCACGGGTCTGAAGCCAGAGGGAAGAGGTTTTGAGGGTGCTTTGGTTCAGGCCAGAAGGAGGGAGAAAGAAGGGAGGTCACTACTGCCCCAGATTTGGAGGTGCCACCGTCTAGGGAGAGATTGATGGCTGCGAGTAACAGATAACAGTTTGCAGTGTGAAGAGAGATTAAAAAGGAGGCAGAGATTGCAGGGAGAACCTGACCCCACCCGTTCGGGGCTGTGCGGAACAGCCACGTCTGATTCTAACACACTGCAATTCGCTGCTGAGGCAATTACAGGTCTGTGGAGCTCAGATTTTTTTTTTAATCATACAATTCTGTAAGCTATCATTTATCCTGTAAAAATGGTGTTTAGCAGAACTCTGATCACAACTGGATGAATACGTGCGTTCAAATTCTTAGTCATTTTAAAGCTCTATATAAGAATTCAGTGGTCTTATAACACTTAAAATGTCACTACAATTTGCCCATATGGACACAGAAAAGGCATATTTACTCTAATTGCTACTCCATCCTTGTTTAAGTATTGTTGTGACACCAGCCCAGCTGATCAGGCCCCTGCACCACATCCTGCCTGTTTCCCACGTAGCCCCTGAGTGGTCAATCACAATGCCATTGTTATCCATCAGATTGTCTGCAGTCATTACTTATTCACAGCCGTCGTGCCTTTTGTCCAAAGTTATTCTTCACTCTTTCCCTAAGACCTTCTCCTGCCTGCTGCGGCCCATCTGCCCCGGTGTCTGACACATACTACACAAGCCCCCCATTTCTCTCTCTCTCTCTCTCTCTCTCTCTCTCTCTCTCTCTCTCTCTTTCACACACACACACACACACACACACACTTACACACACACACACACACACACAAACACACACACACACACACACACACACACACACACACACACACACACAAAGACATGCAGAAACTCTTTACGCCAGCTGTCCAGCACGGGTCCCCGAGCAGTAAAAGGTGCCGGCCCTGAAGCAGATCCTCAGTGTACACAAGAAAGAAAGCTCTCCAGCCTTATTCCTAAACCAAATACACTTTTACCATTGACATTTCAGCATCAATATTATTTAAACAGTATAATCAAGATAAACACATGGTTAAACAAACCTCTACTTGGTAAAGAGTCATATGCAACAACTTTGACCCTCCACTGTCATTTGACTGACAGACACAGCATTTTATTGGTCCGTATGTATCAATATGTGTCAGCATTATCTTATCCAGAAGAAGCCCGATTAATATATTAAATGTATTATGATATCAGTAAAGTACATTCAGTTGAATTTAATCATGTTTGACTGAAAATTCTGCTCCTTGGCTTCAGGCAACCTTATTTGTCAGTTATATTATCTTCTAACATTTTAGAGACAAAATTATGAATTGATTAATCAAGAAAACAATCAGCAGATGAATCCATTATAAAATAATCGTTAGCTGCTGCCCCACTCGTAAGGCCTTCACTGTTCATCAATGATTATTCCTATGAATAGGGCACACTTTTGGACACACACCAACTGATCAACTGTTCAACAAAGAGCCATGAAGTGTCCTTTCATATTATTTTCAGTGGCCACTGCCAAGATAGCTATGATATTTATTTAAGGAGGAAGTAGGAGGCCATGCCAAATACTTGGTTAAAAATAGGCAGCAGTCATTGATGGAGGTTATAAATAGAGAGAAGGAAAGGGGGCTGGTTCTGGGTGGGGATATTTATAGCACAGGCACACTGCTGTTTATTGGAGGCAGCAGCCATGGGGTGCACTTATCAATAACACCATTAAACCCCAAATAGGCTACAACTGAATGCAAAGTCACCTCCCTCATCCATTTCTGGAAAGATGCATCAGTGGTGAAATCAAATCACTTTTATGAGGGGATGAAAGGGATTACTCCTAAGGGGTCTTCTATTCATGGACACAGTAAATGCAAGTGTTGGATCACTTTTCAGTGATGGTATATCTCTGATTACAACATCTTTTTCTCTCCATATATTGCCTCTTGAGTTTGACACAAGTTAGTTGATGCATACAACAGGGTTTGAATCACTGACAACCCGCCAGCATGAATAAACCTGTACATGTAAACATAGGCCTACTGCATCTGAATTTATAAAAAAAGCAAATTACCAAAACCCAGTTGTGTAAATGTAGTTTATCAGAGAGAGTGCTTTTATCACTGAATTTTAGTTTAGTTGATTTACTGTTCAATTGTTTTACCTTGACTTTAAAACCCTTATTAAAAGCCTTGACAATTAGCTGTGTGTACCCCCTATTTAACAATGTTTAAATTACTGGTGGTATTGTATTGTGTAGACAAATAGAGATATGTCTTCTTGACACACTCAGTTGATACAGGTGGAGAACAGACCAGCTGACTGAGGAGGAGGGGCAGAAAAACAGCCTGGCTGGCGGAGGAGCTGCTCCACTCCGGTCGGAGTTAACCTGCGACGCAAGCCGCTGCTGCTAAGTCCCCCAGGCAGCGACCAGCCACTCGTCTGTCTGGGAGTGTATCTAGCTAAGCTAACTAAGTTGTTGTTATTATAGGAACGGCAAAACTGTAATGTTAGCAATTCTGGGAATTAAATCAGTGTACTGTAGCTAATTGTTAACCGCTAAACTGAATTTAAAAAAAATGTCTATATTGCCGTTCACTCCTCCAATCGTGAAGAGGCTCCTTGGCTGGAAGAAGGGAGAGCAGAACGGGCAAGAGGAGAAATGGTGCGAGAAGGCTGTCAAGAGTCTGGTGAAGAAGTTGAAAAAGACGGGACAGCTGGAGGAGTTGGAAAAAGCCATCACAACACAGAATATCAACACGAAATGCTTAACCATACTCAGGTAACAACACAGCTAACTAGCTGCCTCGTAGTTGGCTAGTTAAACTGCAAGCTAACGACAGCTAACGTTAGCTAAGTAGCTTGCTAGTTAATTGAGATAATATTAAAAACGTTTTTTTAGTGAAGCAATTTTTTGCTGGCTTGTCAACATTGACAGGTTCATTACCACATTCATTAATGGGGACATAAAAGATGTGATGCAGGAGGTTTAATTGCATTTATAGGTAGCTTTAGCTGCTACATTTAAGCTAACACAATCCTAAATAGTAAGGCTAACATTAACAAGCAACCTTAACCTGCATTTCAGCTTACATGTTTCATTATGTTGTGTAAATAGGTAACAGACAATTGGCTTAAATACCGAAAACGTTACATAGCAAACTGTTGTAATCAACTATGGTAGTTGATTTAGTGTTTTTAATGTAAGTTATCGACATTGTAAGTAGATTTGATGCGATTCTGCCCATCGACACATCGCGTTATGTTGAAGTAGGTTGTGTCACACGATGTTTGTTTGCACAGCTAGAATGACGTTAACCTATAACTACAATGTAAGCAACATAATTGTGTAGTCAGTGTTTCTCGAATGCCTGGGCAACTTTCAAAATAATGTCTAAGCACGTTTATCTTGCTGACATGGTAGCCGCCTGCGGTACACAGCCAGTGCTACATAAACAAGTATGTCCACAGTTCACACGTGTGATGAGTAGCAGAGGGGGTGGTTTGGCGAAGCAGTTTTCTGACTCACAGAGGATGTTTAGACTAGAGTGTGTGTGTACTCTGGGAGAGCTGGAATAAGGGCTCGGTTTGGGATTCCCCATGTGGGATACCCATCCCTCGAGACCAGTAACGTTAATGCTGTAGGCTATGAGGTCGAGTTTTTGGGTCCCAATATATATGCATTATATAAGATCTTACACTTCACAGTATACATATTACTTTTGGTCTCACAGCTCTCTTTTTATACAATCACAATTTTAACTTCATATTGTGACTGTATCACATCATAATTAAATCCCCACTTTGCGTGTTTGATTCGACAACTTTTGCCTTTGACATCGCATAGACCGAAGACGTTGTAGCTAGCATTTTGTTTGTTTTCCTAAATGAGTATTTGGTGTTTGGGGTCATGATGGTTCAGCCAGCTGATATTTCACTAACCGGTGCTCCTGTGTGGGGAGGACTGAGCGATAGGTCGGCATAAAATACGTTCTTTCATGCTTACATTATTTTGAAACGGTAAATGAAAAAGCATTAAAAAGCACATTGTCTAAAAAGTATCAGAATTTTTTTCTTTTCTGGCCTGACGTTAGTCAAATGCGTTGGTGTTCTGCCCTTAGTAAACGTTGATCCACATGGAACAAGGGAATCTGTTAAAGGTTGTATCTTATGATTCAAAAACGTAATAGTCGGAGCATGGAGCAGGGCAACACAGTGATTGACGAAATTGAATCTTTATGTACCACTACCGTCTTCTTGGTCGTGTCTTTCAGATCTTTAGATGGCCGTCTCCAGGTCTCCCACAGAAAAGGTCTTCCTCATGTCATCTACTGTCGCCTGTGGCGCTGGCCAGACCTGCAGTCCCACCATGAGCTGAGGGCTGTCGACCACTGTGAATATGCCTTCCACACCAAGAAGGATGAAGTTTGCGTCAACCCCTACCACTACCAGAGGGTGGAGACGCCAAGTGAGTGCCGTTAATTGCTACGTGGTCCAAATGACTGTGTTTAGAATAATTCTTTTGCCGTACTTCATACAGGACTGAACTGGTCCTTCATGAAAGTATCCGTGTGTCTCTCCAGTCTTGCCTCCTGTCCTGGTACCACGCCATACAGATATCCCTGCAGAGTTTCCACCGCTGGATGACTACAGTCCATCCATACCGGAGAACACCAACTTTCCCGCTGGCATTGAGCCCCAGAGTAACTATATTCCTGGTGAGAAACACTATTGCTGAACACAGAAGTAAAAAGTCTGTCAACTTTTATTCTCGCGATTGATTTTTTTTTTTTTAGTTTGGTTTAATTTGGAGAGAACTGTCTGGTTATTGTCGGATCATTTCAAACAACAAAGGGGAACTTGGCTGTATGAAAATGCTGGTTGAGTTGATATTTCTGCCTCTAATGTTCAAGATTGGCCTTGAATTTACTCACAACAAATAGCTGAAAAGCATTCATTACTTCACAAAAACATGTCAAACCTTTTGAAATGATGAGACTAAGAGTGTGTTCTTAATCTTTGTCTGTGTTTGTATGTTACAGAAACTCCACCACCGGGGTATCTGAGTGAGGATGGTGAGACAAACGATCACCAGCTCAACCACAGCATGGACACAGGTGAGTCATATAAATGCACACACAATTCTAGCCCATTCTCTTCTAATCATCTGGATCATGAACCAAACTTCTGTCACCGCTCTGTTTCAGGTTCACCCAGCCTGTCGCCCAATCCCGTGTCACCTGCAAACAATAGTCTTGGTAAGCAAAACCAAATGATATATATAATGTGCACTTATCTGGTTGGTAGCAATGACATTATGTAAGGTATAATGCTGCTTATAGCCTGGCCTTTACCCACCAAACTGGCATATGGTATCAAATGATATATCTGTCATTAATTAATTATTTTACTAATTGTGTGAGGATGGCTTTCCTCTGCAGCTGCACTGTATTAGACATGTTATCTGTATAACTTCTCTCCTCTGTCTTTGCTCATGGACAGGAACAAGTCGGTAATCCAAAAATGACTGATGTCTTATTAAATTTTTGTATAGCCCAATATTCCAATTTGCCTCAGGGGTTTTTACAATCTGTACAACATCCTCTGTCCCTGGACCCTCGCATCGGATAAGGAAAAACTTCCCATTATTGATGGTGCTAATTTGACTTTGATCAAATTAGCATATCTTTGTGCGTGCGTGCATGCGAGCGTGTGCGAGGCAGAGAGAGAGAGAGAGAGAGAGAGACAGGAGCAATGGACTACGTCTGGGAGGGTTGGCCTCAGGGCAGTAACAGAGTAAGTGTGGTCTGAATGGAGTCTTTGGTCTGTCCATGTGTGTGGAAAGGCCAGCAACAGACTGCTCTAGGTAATGCAATAATAATAATATCCGGTTGCCAGGTTATTCTATCTATGTGGAAAGCCACCGGGAGGTCATTGTTAAAAACATAAATATGTACGTCATGTCTTGGCCATTCCTGGCTGGGGCCATGGGGGTCGTGGGAAAGAGCTTTTGAGGAGAAATCAAAGGGGAACTTTATCAGCGGAGTGCATCTTCACAATCAAATGGTTGTTTGACAACAAAGCAGTACCTGTTCCCTTGATTTCTTTAATGGTTTCCTCATGGACCGAACTGAAACTTGTATCTCGGCTAATGTGTCTCCATCTAACCCCCACCCTGTGCTCACACAGACCTACAACCTGTGACGTACTGCGAGTCTGCCTTCTGGTGCTCGATCTCCTACTATGAGCTGAACCAGCGTGTAGGAGAGACCTTCCATGCCTCCCAGCCCTCCCTCACTGTGGATGGATTCACAGACCCATCCAACTCTGAGCGCTTCTGTTTGGGCTTGCTGTCCAATGTCAACCGCAACTCGGCAGTAGAGCTCACACGCAGACACATAGGTACTCGTTTTATTCCACAGGGACTTCACAAGCTCTGATCTAACTTGACCTTTTTATACAGTTGTGTGAAAAAGTGTTTGCCCCCTTCCTGATTTCTTATT